ATGCATCTTCTCTCCGGGACTATGTTAGTGGCCTCGAAGATGGCGAGAGGCTGCTAGATATGGTCGCAGAAGCTCAAAACCAAGAGTCTTTTAAGAAGCAGGGCCAGATGCTGTACCCTGAATACTTTACTCTATCAAGGATGATGACCGGAGTCAAGGCTGGGTTAATGCATCAAGGAATCTTCAACGTGTCGCCATATAACTACCTCGAGGGTTCAATCAAAGTACCGGCGTTTCCCAAACCTCTTCTCGTATTGGGTCGCGAAAACATCAACCGAGCCGTTGATGGTGATGTTGTGGTCGTTGAAGTTCTTCCTCAAGATCAGTGGAAAGAACCTTCGACAAAGATCATTGAGGAGGACGCCATCACCAAGAATGAGAATGCAGATGTGGAAGACAGCCAGGATCTCGTGTCTGAAAAGGAGCGGAAGGCCTTGCAAGAGCAGGTCAAGAAGACTCAGAAGAGTGCATCGGAGAGCAAACCTCAGCCTACGGCCAAGGTTGTGGGTGTTATCAAGCGCAATTGGCGTCAGTATGTTGGTCATATTGACCCATCGTCAGCCAGTAAGGGTTCCAGCCAAGGTCGCAAGCAGGATAGCGTTTTCCTCATCCCAATGGACAAGAAGATTCCCAAAATCCGCCTTCGTACGCGGCAGGTTGCTGACCTTCTTGGCAAGCGCCTGTTGGTAACTATTGATGCCTGGGAGCGCGACTCAAGACATCCTATCGGACATTTTGTGCGATCTTTGGGTGAGCTGGAGACCAAATCGGCCGAGACCGAAGCTCTGTTGCTGGAGTGGGATGTTCAATATCGGCCTTTTCCCAAGACCGTATTGGACTGCCTTCCCAGAGAGGGACACGACTGGAGAGTGCCGACAAGCCTGGAAGATCCTGGTTGGAGGCAGAGAGAGGATCTCCGAGGTCTTCTCATCTGCAGTATTGACCCTGTTGGGTGCCAGGATATCGATGATGCTCTCCATGCCAAGCAGCTCCCCAACGGGAACTATGAAGTTGGTGTTCACATCGCCGACGTGTCCAACTTTGTCAAGCCTGCCAACGCCATGGATACTGAAGCCAGTATCCGGGGTACTACAGTCTATCTCGTCGACAAGCGTATCGATATGCTGCCTCCTCTTCTCGGTACGGATCTTTGCTCACTCAAGCCTTACGTCGAGCGATTTGCATTCTCGGTGCTCTGGGAGCTGAACGAGAATGCTGACATCGTCAACGTTCGCTTCACCAAGTCTGTCATCAAATCTCGAGAAGCATTCAGCTACGAACAGGCCCAGTTGCGAATCGACGATGAGTCTCAGCAAGACGATCTTACCAAGGGAATGCGCATGCTTCTCATGTTATCCAAGAAATTAAAGAAGAAGCGAATGGATGCTGGTGCCCTGAGCCTTTCTTCCCCAGAAGTCAAGGTGCAAACTGAATCTGAGACGTCCGATCCCATTGATGTCAAGACAAAGCAGCTTCTCGATACAAACTCTCTCGTCGAAGAGTTCATGTTGTTTGCCAACGTCAGCGTTGCAGCCAAGATCTATGAAGCATTTCCTCAAACCGCCATTCTCCGCCGTCACGCGGCACCCCCAAAGACAAACTTTGACGAACTATCAAACCAACTCCGCACCAAGCGTGGCATGGAGTTGCGGACCGACTCCAGCAAGGCCCTTGCCGATTCTCTAGATCAGTGCGTGGACCCCAAGGAGCCATTCTTCAACACCCTTGTGCGCATCATGGCTACTCGCTGCATGATGAGTGCAGAGTATTTCTGCTCTGGAACACAGGCCTATCCTGAATTCCGCCATTACGGTCTTGCTTCAGAGATCTACACTCACTTCACCTCTCCCATTCGCCGTTACGCCGATCTTCTTGCCCATAGACAGCTCGCTGCTGCCATCGACTACGAGGCCATACACCCCAACGTCCGCAGCAGGGGTCGCCTTGAGGCTGTCTGTAAGAACATCAACGTGCGCCACCGCAATGCTCAGATGGCCGGCCGTGCCAGCATCGCCTACTATGTCGGCCAAGCCCTGAAGGGCAAGGTTGCTGAGGAAGACGCGTTCGTGATGAAGATTTTCAGCAACGGCTTCGTCGTTCTTGTTCCACGCTTTGGTACAGAGGGCCTGATCCGCCTTCGAGACCTTGCACAGCCTGAGCCCGAGGCCGAGTACGACGCAGAGACATACACGCTTACAACCAAGGGAAGCCGCGAGATCAAGGTAGAGCTCTTCCAAAAAGTCAGGGTTAGAGTCCGTGACGAGAAAGATGAGATGACGGGCAAACGCGGTGTCAAGATGGAATTGATCGAGGCATAGATATAGACGAACAAAAGCTGGGTTGTGTTGGGAGGCATACGGCATAATGCATAGTCTACGAGTCACTTGGTAAACCATGCAGGAGTTTTGGGAAGACAAATTGTTAATTTTTTTACGAATGTATATGCACGGATATAAACCGTTCTACCAGATCCTTGAAACGCCAAACTTTCCAGTGAAGAACTCATGTTGAACCTTTCCGTCATTTTGCCGAACAAAACCGCTGAAACACTTTTCTTTACTGCTCCATAGCATCGACGGCTTCGGCACTGCCCTCATCGTCACCCCACAGGCCCTCGAGCTTGAACTCGGCAGCCCATTCGGTCACGATCTGCTTCTGGTCGGCAGCAACCTCGTCCTCGCCAGCGTTCTTGATGGTCGACTTGGAGGCGGTGGTAGTCGACTCGACAGCTAGAACAGGAGGCTCAACCCAGCCCTGGATGCGGCCGTCTCGCCAGTCAGTGACGACTGTCATAGCGGCAGCAGAGAGGTTAGGGATACCACCACGACCAAGGCGGCCTCTCTTGCGGGCGACTTGAACGAGGAAGTCAGTGGTGATGTCACCATCGGCACGATCAGGGAGGAGGGCAGGGATATCGTAGACGCTGGTGAGCTTCTGCATAAGATCGGGAGAAGCTGACAGACGCTTCAGGAGAAGAGTCACGGCGGGCATAGGATCGTCGATCTGCTTGGGGGGCACAGCGTTGAGGAGAACCAAGTGGGCATGTGCCTCAGTGGCGTTCTTGAGAGAAACGAGACCAGCAGATTGGGTGGAAGATGATGAAGGGAAAACAACACCGGGGGAGTCGAGAAGAGTGAGCTTGCTGTCGATCTTGACCGAGCGAATACTTGTGGTAACGCCAGCCTCGGCACCAGCGGGGCAAGCCTTGGAAGAGCTGCCGCCCTTACCGCTCATCCTTGAAAGAAGAGCGTTGATAACAGAACTCTTGCCGACATTAGGATAACCTATGACGCCAACGGAGACGGCGCGCTTGAGTTGTCGGCTGGCGGCAAAGCTCTTGAGGGCCTTGAAGAGCGTGGCAGAGGTGCTCTGGACGGTCAGATCACGGTGGTTAAAGGTGTGGGCGTTGGGGGCAGCGCCAGAGGCTCGGAGAGGCAGAGTAGGGAAGTATCGTCGGAGGTAGATAAGCCAATCTCGTAGAACCTTGGGAGGGATGAGATCGACCTTGTTGATGACCAGGATCAGTCGCTTGCCGCCAGCTGCGGCAGCCATAATCTGACGCTCAACCTCGCGAGAGCGGGTGCCCTCGGGATCGCGAGCATCGAGGACATAAAGAACAACATCGGCCTGCTCAACGACTTGCTTGAAGACTCTGTCGTAGGTCTTTCTCGATGAGGCCTGGCCAATGGACATCTCGGGGCCACGGTCGTCGTCGGAGTCGTTGCTATCGTCGTCCTCGTCCATATCATCGTCGTCAGCGAGTTGTCTATCATAGGTGGCGGCAGCGGCGCGTGCGCTCGCGATAAGCGCAGCCATGGGGTTTGACTCGTCGATATCCTCGTCCATGCCGTCCTCGTCCATCTCGTCGCCAACGTCGACCTGGACATCGGCCGTTGCCGCCTCGTCCTTGGAGCCCGTCTTTGCGGCCTTGGCCAGCTCCTTTCTTCTTTGCGCCTCCTCGGCCTTCTTTAGACGGTTCTCTTCAATCTCCTGGAGCAGCTTCTCCTTGTAGGGGAACAGGTTGGGGATACCGGGGTCCTTCTTCAACTTTGATCGCCATTCTGGGTTCTTCTTTGCCAACTTGCGCTCCTTCTTTTGCTTTGCGGCGGAAGCCTTTTCGATCTTGTGGCGAAGACGAACGGGAGTTCGCTTAGACTTGGGCTCTGAACAACCAAATCAGTATTGGAGACAGTATATTCGGGTGGGGGTTTGTCTATGCTGATTCGACCTACTCTTGGGTTTGGTAATTGAGCCGGCCATTGTGAAATCTTTGACTTGATTTTACTGTGATCGGCTTGTCTTGTGCTGTCTTGTTCTCGTCTTCACTGGTGTAGTCTCGGCCAAAAGTTTGAAAAATTAAGTGGGATATCAAATTCTGCCGCTTTATTTTTCAGACCGCCTTTCTTCCCCCACTTCGGAGGGTACGTACCTATCTCTGGGAAACCTACCTACTATATCTAGGTGAGATTGACGAGTTGACATGCTATTTACAGATAAAGTCACAAGTCGCAGATCTTAATTCGGTCTCAATTCTATGCTATTCGATGCTTTGTTTACTTTGAAACTCTTCCAGTTCCCATTTCTAGTACCGATATATGTCTGCGTTGGGAATATCGTAGTGATTGCAAAGCATGGTCTCAGGGCTTATTTAATGCAAGGACTTTAATATCAATCTTATCTAAACTCAATCAACTCGTCGATCATACGGTCACTCTGGCAGTTCCCTAATTTGGATCGTTGTGAACAAGTTGGTGGAAACTATGCCTACGCCAGACCCGAAACCCGATAACACACCAAGGTAGACCCGAAGACCACTACAACATGCCATGACTATCACTTGTTCCCGAAATGCGAGAGAGCCTGTATCGTTGTAAAGTCGATCAACTGAAACCGACTCTGAAACAACATATATAATTCATCGCCTTTCCTCCTGGATTCCAGCGCGCACTAACACTAAAAGCCAAGTCAACACCATAAGCACCCGAGCAGGCAAGGTAGCCATGTCTTCAGAACTCATCCAGCAGATCCAGGCGGAACTCGAGGCTGCCACGACTAGATACATTGATCGTAATCCTCGATCCAAGGCTCTTCATGATGAGGCTCTCAAATCAATGCCTGGCGGAAACACGAGGACTGTTCTGCACGCTAGTCCATTCCCTGTTGTGATCAAGTCTGGCAAAGGCCATCAAATTACTTCGGAGGATGGACACACGTAAGTCTTATGGGCTATTGCAACCAGCAGTTCTGCTTACAGATCACATAGTTACACGGATTTCACCGGCGAGTTCACAGCTGCTCTCTATGGGCATTCCAATCCCGTCATTATCTCGACTATTCGAGACGTACTTGACAATGTAGGTATGAATGTTGGGGGCAATACAGCTCAAGAGCAGATATTCGCTCGTGAAGTCTGCAGCCGCTTCAATCTGGAACATGTACGCTTCTGCAACTCTGGTACTGAAGCGAATATCCACGCTCTAGCAGCTGCCAGGGCTTTCACCAAGAAAAGAAAAGTCGTCACTTTCAGTGGGGGCTATCATGGTGCTGTGATAGGATTCAAGGGGGGGGAACCAGAGGCCAACAATGTCGACTTGGACGATTGGGTTGTGGCCAGATACAACGATCTTGACAGCGCTCGTGCTGCTATCGAGAGCGAGGGTGTTGCTGCAGTGTTGGTGGAAGGGATGCAGGGCTCTGGAGGCGGCATTCCCGGACACCCTGAATTTCTGCAGGGCTTACAGGAGATTGCTGGAAAGGTAAGTCTCCGTGCTCTATCAGCTCCATCTTGTATACTCACAGGTTCAGGCCGGCGTCTTGTTCATCATGGACGAAGTCATGACCTCCCGTCTCTCAGGAGGAGGTATCTCCGAGATGAGGGGGCTCAGACCAGACCTCAAGACATTTGGAAAGTATCTCGGCGGAGGCCTGGCTTTCGGTGCTTTCGGCGGTAGAGCAGATATCATGGCTGCTTTTGATCCACGGCTTCCCACTGCTCTCTCGCATTCTGGCACTTTTAACAACAACACCCTGGTGACACACGCTGGCTACGCTGGCCTAACAAAGATCTACACGCCTGATATTGCAGCCCGATTCACGAGATCTGGAGATGAGCTCAGGGACCGACTCAACGCAGTAACAAAGGGCACAAGAGTGCTCTTTACTGGTATCGGCACCATCATGGGAGTCCATTTTCCAAGGGACGGTTCTCGTGCAATCGAAAGATCTGGCGAAGTCGAAGAACTCGATTCCTTGAGGGATCTCTTTTGGCTTGATATGATGGAGGAGGGTTTTTGGCTCGTGCGCAGAGGATTCATGGCTTTGGTGCTCGACACTCCCATGGACGAGTTTGATAGATTTGTCAGTTGTGTTGAAGCATGGGTTTCTAAGCGTGCTCAAATGGTTAGAATCTAACTGAAAGTCGTGTTATGAGACATTTGCTAGACCTTTATTTGAATAATTATACAGGTTGATAGGTATCTCCGTCTTACTTGTCTGATGATGCACATGGTCTATAAGTTGTTCAAGTGCATGTTCAGCGTCTGATTGGCCAGTCACCTTACCATTACATACTAGGTAGGTTGTCTTGCATTGGTCTCCACTTAATTCTTTATCTTCACTACCACCTATGGAAGGTAAAGGTCCTTTGTTCTCAGTACAACTCCATACTTACACCTTCAATCGCGCTTTTCCTACCTTCTCACCCTCGCGCCTATCAACCGTTCAATCTCCATCCCATCGCAAAACCTTCGACAATGGATTTCCAAAATCGCGCCGGCTCGAAATTCGGCGGCGGAGGCGTCGCTTCTCAATCCGCCACCAACGCCGACCGTCGCGAACGTCTTCGCAAGCTCGCTCTCGAGACCATCGACCTCGACAAGGACCCCTACTTCTTCAAGAATCACGTCGGCTCATTCGAGTGCCGTCTTTGTCTCACGGTCCACCAGAATGATGGCTCCTACCTCGCTCATACCCAGGGCAAGAAACATCAGACCAACCTCGCCCGTCGCGCTGCTCGCGAGCAAAAAGAAGGTCGTCAAGGTGCCGTTGACCCAGCTACCGGCCTCCCCATTGGAGTCACAGGTGCAGGCTTCGCGCAGCGTCGCAACGTCGTAAAGATCGGACGCCCCGGATACAAGATCACCAAGATCCGCGACCCTGTCTCCCGTCAGCAGGGTCTGCTCTTCCAGCTCCAATATCCCGATGCGACCCCCGAAACATCTCCCAAGTGGCAGGTCATGAACGCCTTCACTCAGCACGTCGAGGAGCCCGACAAGAACTTCCAATATCTACTCGTCGCCGCCGAACCTTACGAGACGGTTGGCTTCAAAATTCCTGCCCGTGAGCTTGACAAGCGCGAGGACAAGCAGTTTGCCTTTTGGGATCCGGATGCCAAGGAGTATTGGATTCAGGTCATGTTTATGACTGAGCGCGAGGAACGCTTCAACGCGGCTCCTGGTTTGACGGCAAGGAGGTAATGGCCCATTTACTGACCCTCTGGTGGTCATGGTTATTTGCATCTTGGGAGTAAAGAAAAGGATATCCAGGTCATGGGACGGCGTCACAGGGGTTTTTTTTATGTGCAATAGTTCTGTCTGAAGCATCCAAGGCTCGAATTGAACACCAGTAGAGCCTTGCTACTGTACACGGGCTGCCCAATCTCATGTATAACTTATCACTCGATCCCATGTGCTCACGGCGCAGCAGTTTTAGACTTCGAGATAGTTAATCATAGGTAGGCTGTATTTCAAATGGCATGTCTCAAAGGACCCAGTTCAGATACATGCACTGTCACGAACGATACACCTTCATATTTTTCATTTTTTTGCTTCAGTATCTTATTATTGACTTGTACAGCAGTTCTGGAAACTCGTGTTTTGTTACATGTCCTGTATAATGCGATGCAACCTGACCGACTTTGTATGCCCCTCCATCTGAACCAGACCTGCTACCATAGTATCATCAAAAACATGCATCGAAACAGCCAAATGGCTCAGCAAACGGGCAAGCCCCGCACAGTGTTTGCTTCGTCTATCATGTCATGAATAACTGCTTGAAGAACCCGTTATACTCGTCCGAGTTGACGTCCCCTTTCCATCGACAGCGCCCGTTCACAGAACTAGGTTCGCTTCGTGGAGAGACCACCATGCCACCTCAACCCATTTATCGGAAGTTGTTATCAAATCGCTTGAATGTATAGCCGATGAATGGCAAACTCATCTCTGGAGACTCCTCGACCTTGTGGCCTTGCTGGATAGCCTGCGCCTTAAGGACAGTGGCGTTATCGGTCTGATCAATTTCATCAGTAGGGAAATAAGTCGTGTCGATGTTGGAGGTCAAGCGGGGCTCAAAGGGTGCGCGAATACGGCGAAGGCTATCAAACTCAACACCGCGGAAGAACGCATGGCCCTTGATTTCGTGGGCACCACCACGGCCGAGACGGTTCTCTGTGTTACAGACCATGCTACTTTATGTTAGCAACCAGCGTTCCCCTTGACTCTCAAGATGATTGCTTACCTTCGGATAAGATGCTCCGCATCGGTACCCAGTGTGATATCATCTGGAAAGTACAGAGTTTGTCTCCAGTTGACAATCTTGCGGTACGTGTCATGGCTGTCTTCGGCGCAGAAAGGAGGCCAGCCGACCAGACACTCGAACATGATCGTGCCGAGTGACCACCAATCACAGTCGAAGGTGTAGCCGTGGCCAGTGAAAATCTCAGGAGCAATGTAGTCAGGAGTTCCGACGGTCGAGTACGCCATAAGTCTTCGAGATCGTCTCCAGTCGTTGATCTGGGATCGATTGCTGACTGTCAGGTTGATTTGATCAAGCGCAACCGAGTTACGGTCGCGAGGCCTGTTTGATCTACCTTGCAACAGCTGCTGATAATAGTTATTATCATGAAGCCTGTGGAAGCCAGTCGACAGGCCAAAATCTGTGAGTTTGACATGTCCTCCGCGATCGAGGAGAATGTTGTCAGGCTTGATATCACTATCGAGGGTCAGATGCTGCTCGCGGGAAAACAGGGGTAAGAGAGCGTGATACGTACCGGTGGATGAAGCCCAACTTGTGGACGGCCTCAATAGCGAGAACAATCTCCGCAATATAAAAGCGAGTGATATCCTCCGAGAAAATTTCATACTTGATAAGCATTGTCATTAGATCTCCACCGGGCAAGAACTCCATTAGCATGTAGAGGAAGTATGAGTCCTGGAAGGTAGTGTAGAGCTTGACGACCCATGGACTATCAGACTCTGCGAGAATGTCTCGCTCTGATCGAACATGTGCAAGCTGGTCCTTCTTAAACATTTCTGTCTTTATCAGAGACTTCATAGCATAGACCTTGCCATCACCCTTCTTCTGCACGAGCTTGACCTCTCCAAAGGCACCCTTTCCGATAATCTTTACAGTATTATAGTTTTCGGGCTTGTCCTTGGTACGAAGGAAACGCAGATACTGGCCTTCTTTTCTGCCAGCAGTGGACCAGAGCTGCTCACGTCTAGCGGCGCCCTGTGAGGGGTCCTGAAGCTTCTGCTCCAATTCACTTTGTCTGTATAGTGATTATGAGTTAGTTGCACAACTCTCATGGACAGCAGCAAGACCGAGGCACGTGGGCACATACCTTTGGTTGCGCTCGCGGGCACGCTTGACACTATCCTTAAAAAAGTCGGCGGCGAGCTGGGAACACTTCTTTTGGTTGCTATTGACATTTGTACCATATCGATCAGGGTTTCGCTCGGGTGCACGTTGGAATTCTTCTGCGGGGGCAGAGGCCTGTGTTGGCATAGGAGGGGCGTTCATGTAGCTGTTGTAGCCAGGCTGCTGTCCTGTACTACCAGCGGTCCTGGGACGCTGACCTGGAGAGGGACCTCGAGCATAACCTTGCCCTCGAGCAGCACCTCCGAGGTTCTGATGAGAGAACTGGTGAGCGAGGCCTGTGTTTGGGTCGTTGGTGCCCGGTGTATTGGATCGTGGTTGATACCCAGCACCCTGAGCATAGTCATTGGACTGCTGCTGTTGCTGGCCGCTATACTGGGCATATTGGTTCTGGTTAAAGTAGCCCTGGGGCGCATAGCCACCAGCATATTGTTGCTGCTGCTGCTGCTGACCTTGGGGTTGCAATCCACCCGGCTGTTGACCTGAAGCTGAAGGGAAAACGGGCTGCGGGAAGGTCGAGGGCGTAGTGGGATATGCTGCCCTGTCCGAGGCGGTCAAACGGTCGTTGCCGTTGCCAAAGTTAAGATAGAGGCGATTGTTGTTGTTATTGGGATCCATCTTGTCTGATCGCGGCGTCTCGATCGCCTCGTTTCGCCCTGTATCGTATCGACAAGTTGGTGAACAACTCTTGGAGAGATGAAAAGAATAAAGACTGAGGTGGGAGTCGAGATGGCGGACAAGTTTCAGGGGAGGGTCATGTCCAGGGGCTGTGGAGGGGAGAGCGAGGGGCGGCGCGGGACTAGAGCTACCTTTCCGCAGGAAGGTCAGTTACAGTTAGTACCTTAGCTGCTTAGTATGTATGTACCTTAGGTAGGTAGGGACTGCCAACTGCCCGGAAAGTGCCTGGGTAGGGGAGTACAATATGGGTTAAGTAGCACCAGAGCCACCTCTGGCGGGAGCACCAAGAGACTGGTGCACGGTCGACAAAGGTCTCAGGTTGAAGGAGAGACGAAAAGAAATCAAAATGGATGATTTTGAGAGAGAGAGGTAAAGCAGAAGGAGGGTAGCGGATTCCGCACCTGTACCTAAGCCTAAAGCCCAGGAAGTACTTGAGGATTTTTGTTTGGCTAAAAAAGCAGTGTCCCTCCACTAAGAACAAATATGACAGGCGCTGCCACTGCGTCACTGTCACTGTCACCACCTGCACTGCGCGGCCTTCACTTCCATTGTGCTCCCCGAGCCGAAACGTGCTCCTAGGGATGTATCGCCCTTCCCTGGATGTTTTGGCTTACCTAGGTAGGTAGGTTCAGTCACAGCCTAAGGAATGGCCAAAGTTAGCGGTTAGCGGTTGGCACACGACGGGCCGTGAAGTGGCACAGGGCGGTTCCATGCGTTTTGGGGGAAGAGATCCAAGGGGTCAACAAGTCTGAGGGGTCCAGCAACTCCCGCCGACAGAATTGGAATAGAATGAAGCGTGGCGGGCGACCTGAGCCAGTATATTTTAGCTTTAAAATTAGCGGTCTTTCGTGGCAATCATTTCGATGGTGGGTGCTGTGGCTGCTATAATTTCAGTGCCTAGGTACCTTACCTAAGGTAACTACTCTACTACTATACCTAACTTCGGTGCTCGGGACGACGGGAGAGTAGAAATCAATGATGCATACCTACCTATCCATGGATATCTAAGTAACTGCTAAGGTAGTACTTTACCAAGGTACATAAGTTGAATCTTCAGGTATCAGCAAGAATTCATTTTGCCAACAAGAAGTTGTTAGAAGAGAATGGCACACCAGTCAATGCCTCAAATAGCAAAGTCTTCACCCTCACTTTAGCAGACCAATGTTTTTCCTCATCATGAGTTCTACGCTCATCGCATTCCGCTAATAAGAGATTAGCATCTCCAGCATCTCCCTCCGAACTAACTTTCAACACCAACAAACGGTGTTGGTGGTGACTTATGATCGCGTTCTGACCATCATACTCCATAGCATGGCACTTTTTTTCGTCCTAGCCACTAAACTACCTAACACATGTACAATCTTCATCCCAGGCTATCCTTGCCAATAGACCCCTCAGGGCCTGGACCCCTGTTATTGTGTTCCCCGAGATGTTGCTGTTTGGTACTATTCCTGAGCTTCAGGTGAACCTGTCACCCATGTGTGGCAGGGACCTCTCAGCCTCTTGAGTATCCGTATTCTCATTTTTTTTTCTATGGATGGTCATCATCAGAGATCGGGGCTGACTCTGTTATCCACCATCTATTTCGCGTAGTTTTCATGTTATATTAACATGGACCTTGAGTAGCATTGCCAGATGTAACATGCCCACGTTGACTCCCGTCGGCTTTTATCATACAATATTCGCTTGTATGTACCACATGGCAATCCAACGGCGAACATCACACAAGAATTTGAATGGCATCGCAGTGATACCTGAGTAGCCTGAGTTAGTCAACGCATTTGACCAAGGCAACATTTTCCCCCCATCTACTACATACTACGCAGCTCTCTTGAAATCAGAACATAGACAACGAAAACTCCATCAGAGGATCACAGACATTACCGTATTCCCTACCGTTTCTAGAAGCTTTATGGAAGTTTAGCGAGACTCATGAGGACTTTGAATTTCAACGCATTACGGGCAAATAAATGTTTCAGTAAATAATTCATACACCTAACTAGGTGGAAGGAAGCCAGAATTAGTCACGTTTTAAATCCTGATATTGTAGTCCGTTAATACAAAACCAGAGACACCTCTCTATTCAATTCAATAATGACCGGAGCTAAAGTATTTCCTTCCCGACCGCCCGGGCCTTATCGGAGCCGCCTATCGCTTATCGTGATTTTTTTCCTTCGGCGGACCAACAGATCAAGAAGAGGTCGATGTTAACAACCTTGCTATCCTATGGCTTAAACGGCTAGAATACAACGGCGATTAATTCTTCAGGCCTACGGATCGCATAATAAAGACTAGTATAACCATTCGACTCGCACAATGGCCGAACCCAACCCTTCAGCGCAGCAGCCGGCAGCCGGCACCGGCGCAACGTACAAGGCGCCCACACCGAAGCCGAAACAGAACCCAGCTCTTCGGATGATGGGTCTGCCAAATCTCCCTCGAAAACTTCCCTCACGCAATTGGCTTATATTTTGGGCTATCACTGGTTCTATCTCAGCTGCTATCATCTACGACAAGCGCGAGAAGAAGAGAGCTACTGCGAAGTGGAAGCACGCTGTCGCCCCTCTCGCAAAGGACATAATCCCCTCAGCCAGCCAACTGCCTCGCAAACTAACCATTTACCTCGAGGCGCCTCCTGGCGATGGTCTACGGATTGCACAGGACCATTTTATAGAGTATGCCAAGCCCGTCCTGGCTGCCTCTGGTCTTGATTGGGAGTTCGTCCAGGGAAGACAACAAGGTGATGTGAGAGCTGCCGTAGCAGAGAAGATTCGTAGGGAGAGAAGGAAGCATGAAAGGCCAGATGAAGAGGATCTGCAAACAGATGAGGCTATAACTGAGTCATTGAGGAAGAAGAACCAGGTTCCTGAGTATGAGGGTGTCAAAGGCGATATTATCTTTGGCCGACATACATGGAAGGAATATATTAGGGGACTACACGAGGGTTGGCTTGGTCCTCTTAACCCTCCCGTAAAGCCTGAGTCTATTACCAAACCTGTCGAGGCAGCTTCTGAGACTCCCAAGGCCGAAGGTGAGCAACCTGAAGAGAAGAAGGAGGACAAGGAGGAGGAGGCAGAGAAGAAGCCTGAGCGACCACCTCAGCCACTGCCATACAACACCACCGCCGATTATTCCATCGCCAATATCCCTCCTCAAATTCCCGCCGAGTTTTCTCCTGCAAACCCCATCCCTCTTCCCCACCGCCTGGGCTTCCGTCACACTCTAGTCCGCCTGAACCGCTTCTTCAACCGCCGCAAACTAGCCGACGAGATCGGCCGCGAAGTTGCTGCTGTATGCTTCGCCAACTCTTCTCGTGAGTGGCGAGAGGCCGATGGTCAGTATGAGCAGGAGCTCGTCCTTAAGCATGAGGAGAACGACTGGGTCAAGTCGGTTTGGAAGCCCGAGGAACCGCCCAAGCAAGATGATGACAACACCGCCACTGCGCCTACTGAGCCCCCTAAGGAGAAAATTTGGCCTGCGCCTATGGTCGTTGACCCTCGATTGGCGCAGCGCATGCGGCGCTTTGAGATTGCCCCTGAGGATGAAGCCCGCGCTGCACAGATCAAAGTCTCTGAGGCCGAGATTGAGGGATGGATAAAAGGAAGCTTCCGCAGCTTGTGGAACTATACTGTCGAATCAGTGACGGCCAAGCCCATGAGACCGAACGTTGGTAATGTGGACAGCGATGAGTAGAACGGAGTGTTGTTCTTTGAGATAAAAGGGGGGGCGGTGTGACGGGGAGCACCGCTGTGTATGTTCATGTATTACTACAACTCTGTTATGGAGTGCATCTCGTGGTTAGGATTTAAATTCTGTATACTACACCAGGCGAGGGGCTGGTGCCAATGTAACATTAATGATGGAATGAGGTACGGCATTGAGCGTGGTCATGGTCTATTATGCTATACAATTCAATGGCATTTGATTCCCCTCCATCGTGTGATCTCAACCCTACTGTAGTTCACTCATACCTTCAATCGTCATCATCTGAATTGCTCCCATAGCCCACCAATACTAGCCCCTTCTTCTCTGGTGGCTTAGCAGCTGACTGACTTGTCGTCCTGGACTTGTCATCTAACGTATCATAGCTCGTGCCTTCGACTGGCTTTGTATCTTGCTTCCCGGTTTCTTTCTCCTCCGCTGCGCTGACTTTTCGCCTCAAGCCCTTGACATCTTTCTCTTTCGTGCGTTTCCTCTTACGACCAATCTCCCATGACTCGCCTTCTTCTTTAGCACCAACGTTTTCGCCCTGTGCAGCATCACCCTTTTGTCGCTCTCGGAATGCCTTTAGACCTTCTTCCGTCTCTCGTCTCACGCGTTCCTCTTCTGCACGCTTGTTGGCGCGTATCTCATCCAAGAACTCTATCTCATCATCATCCAATGCACGAAACTGGTTACGTAGTTTGGTCTGCTCTTCGAATTCGGCCTGTTTTGCCGCTGTGGTGTTCAGTTAGAAATGTGAAATGATTTCAACGAGGCCTTTCCTTACCTTTGTTTGCCTGGAGGACGTCATACAAGGTCTTCTCGCCTTCTCCTGTAGCAGCCTTAATGCGCTGTTCCTCGCGCTTCTTTCTTTCGGCTTCCAACTGTTGCTCAACCGCTTCCCATTCTTTGGATTTGGCGGAATTGTGAAGCGGCTGTTGAGGTGTCGATTCTGCACCACTCGCGTCTTTCGAGATCTCTCCAGATGAGCCGATCTTGCCAGCCGATACGAAGCGGCTAGACATTATCTGACCTGAGATTGGAGATCGCGTCTGGAATGGCCACGTCTGGGGAGAACAAGAAAAGCAGCTATAAGACTATTATCATGTTATATAGGTTTGTAGAAGCTGAGACTTGGATTGACAATGCTTTAATGAGTACTCCAGCCATCCGATAATCTACCGATCAACGACGCAACCAGCAAGTCCACTTCGAAGGCCGTCACAGACAGTTTGTGCACAACTCAGGTCGGAAACGGTAAATAGTAGCAAGCAGTAATATGATGATATTTTTGTTTTCATTTTAGCAAATCTCGATATGCAAGGTGACTTTTCCTTCTTCCTTTGCACACAAGTCAAATCTGAATAGCAATCACGAGTCACCAACTCGCATCATCTCTCGCTCCATAAACAACGAGTGTGCTGAGAATGTCATCCTCCCACCTGCATCTCGTGTATCTTCCGACAGCCGCATCAGGTGCATTCAGATAGGCTGAGCTATTCGAATCACTAGCAACCAATTTTGCTTTCAACACCTTTTATTTGCGCACATTGTACACAAAAACTACTACCTATAGACAGCTCTGAATGGCTGAAAAAAATACATTCGGTTTGTTGAGTGGCAACATAAAGGTTCCAAGCAGTTGATTCTTGCAGGCTGCATTGGATCGTGCCTCTTGTATGATGCTCGAATATTCCGTAAGAATCATACCAAGTCGTGAAAAAAAGATGCAATAGCAACAAAAAACAAGGTCGGCCATATAATGAATCCATTGAGCCGACGTGACGAAAAGCAGATGCCAACACCCCGTTGGTAACATCCCATTGTAATGCCCAACACCGAGACCTGTGAAAGACCAAAGTCAAGAGTACAATACTCGTTTTCCTTGGCGTCAAATCCGACACCACTCCAGGCTGGAGTCGTGACGATGACCAACTCCAGGGAAGTACAAACAATATGATATCAAACCCTATGATCAAAGCGATCAAATCCAATTCCGTTGTTTTTCCCGCTGAACGCAATGCATAACCCCGTCGTGTGAAACCGTTTCCTGTGGTCAAAATTCATATCTACCACTTGCAATAACAAAGAAAAGAAGAAGAAAAAAGCGAAATATGTACCATCGTCAAGATTACCGTCGCATAGCTCAGTCCATCCGACCTATGGTACTCGTGTCGAATCGACTTTCATGTCGATCTGCGTCACGACGAGATCATGGAGGAGAAAATATGGTCAGGATATATTGTGACCAGATTCACATAATCCTGCGTTTCAACAGAATCTAGTGTCGAGAGAGTAGCAGCGATCAAGTTCTGCTGAGTCGCCATCTATAACAGATGCTGCGCTTGGGCATTACGCCCATGTCCGGTAATGCATTGTCCGGACCTCCATTGAAGGGCGATGTGCTTGAGTTGGAGTACGATGAGGGCGGAAATGGCGAACAGAGGGAAGCCGTGCGCGCAGAAGCCTTGGGAAACCGAAGAAACCGGAAGTCTATCAAGCTGGAACCGTGTAGTGTAAAACGAAAAAGCCGAACGCCGATTATGACCATTACAGAACGTGTTACCAATAAAACAAAAAAAAGAAAATGCCACATTTTTCGGACTTGAGTTGACGTTGGTGCGTCAAGTTGACTCGCGAGGAGAATGGATCAGGCTTTTGAGTTCCTGTCGTCAAGTCGTGGCTGTAGAGTAAAATCCTGAGAATGATCCGCCGAAAGGTCATGTTATGAACAATTTTGTCGTGCCTGGGGTATCTGAATGCGAATTTATCGTTCTCGGGATGCGTGTAATAAAAAGAAAATCGTGGCCGTAAAAAATGAAAACCCTGTAAAACTTTTTTCTTCTTTCCAAGACCGGACCGCGCTCGAGTAGAGCCATTATGTGAAACTTTTGAAAAACGTTTAACCCATGACGGGCTGACTGTAGCCGTGAGGCACGAAATAAGGAACCTGCGGCTTCATAGGATCCACACAAGCAGCGCAGCTACACTCGGCAAGACCATGTTCCCACATGTTCTGAGAGTAAGAGTAGTGTCCACCATACGAGTTGTGGCGCGAGTTGGGATAGAAGGTGGTCTGAGCAGGAGGCTGAGGGTATCGAGTAGCATACTGAGTAGCAGCCTGTGAGAACCATTCGTTATAGCGCTCATTGCTCGACGTAGCTGACATGGCATAGTCTGGAGTGCCATACCCGGAATCGGGAGGCGTGAGGGGAGCACCCCAGGAACTTTGGCCCCAGCCAGATTCGCGTGGGCGATAGCTTTGCTGTTGAGCCTTCATAGCCTGGTAGCGCTCATATTCCGCAACCTGTTCCTGGAGGTAACGCGAGTGAGGTGACTGGCGCTGACCAGAATATCTAGCGATGTCTGTGTCGATGGCGGGGACAATAGATGCAAGCCTCTCGCGGCTGGCCTGGGCGACCTGTCGCTTCTTGATCTCTTGCCATTCACGCCAGTTCTCAAGCCAGGCCTGGTAGTCCTTGCTCATATCGAGATTGACATACAGTCGCCAGCCCATAGATTCAACCCATTCGAACTCAAGCGAGTTGAGCTCTGACACAGCAATGCCACTCACCTCAGACCAAGAGCGATTCTGAAAGGTGTTGTCATCGAGAAACTTGCTTCCCAGAAGCAGAGAAACGGTCAGGTAGCGCCAGACTTGTCCCTCTGAGGCTTTGTAAGGACCCTGTCCCTTCAAGGTGTTGATTCTCTTGGCGAGATAGTTCATTCCGAGGAGGATCGTGGTGCTGGGCAGTCTTGTTGAAGTGAGGATCTGAGACACGAACTTGCGAAAGGGCGAGGTCACTGCAGCCTCGGGTGTAACAACGCGAGTGGCCATCTCAGCAACGTACTCAGCCATCATGTCGACCTCGTAATCGAGGACGGCACACACACCTCCGGGCATGATGAAAGAATTGGGGTAGGTCCGACGAAGATCGAGACGCGACCTTTGTCGGGAGTTGGAACTTTTTGAGACCGTAAAGCGAAACTGCGGGTTTATACCACAGTTAAGACGGTCGTGTGAGCTGAGCGTGAATGGGAGCGTGCGTGACGGCTTAGTCGAGGGTAATCGACGGGTAATCAGTAGGCTACTCGGGCCATTTACTGATATGCTTCTCTTCGCGTTAACGCGACACGCAGGGATAAAACGTATACAGAAACGAGTCGAGTCGACTTGTGGTGGGTCAACTGAGGGGGGCCGAAATAGAATTGCTTTTGGCGTAAACGAGAATAAATCAACGTCGATGGTATATAATAAATCTCGTGTCTCTGAGATCCAACCAATCTGTACAGCTGACTGTTAGTTCTTCATTCTTGCGTGATCGGTAGTGCCTCGGGAACAGAAATAAACTGGTCGGGTTGTCTTCGTAGTCGTAGATGCAGATGCAGAGTGCAGGTTATCGAAGGAGATTGGGCGATGAAATTTAGGAGCGCGCTGATCGATTAAAAAGCAAACGGGAAAGAAAGAAAAAGGCTATTTATGATCATATTCCATGTCGGCAGCATAAACTCAAAGTTTGTTCCGTCGAATAGACAAGGACCAGTCGTTTGTGAACAAAGCAGAAGATGTTGCAAGACTCACCAGAATGAAAAAAGGACGGTCGTACGTGAGTAAGGAAACGTATAGCTGAAGGAGGAGGAAGCCCTGGGACCGCAGATCCGAAAGTTACTGGTGAGAATGAGACTCGAGGTCGAGACTTGAAGCAGGCAGGTCGGAAATATGCAGCTTAGTCTACAGTAGCAGCGAGCTGCAGAAGAGACACGGACAGGGCAAGGAGAGAGACTCGCGCGAGAAAAGGACCAGAACCCTAACGTCGACAAACCAAATGAAGGCCTGCTGACTGGTGATTGTCAAGGAATTGGGAGGATTCGGTTTCTATCGTGGAGAGAGGAAGCGGATGAGGGTAGAGGAAGGAAAAAGGAAAAAGGATGATGAGGGAGGTGGAAGAGGATGAAAGAAAAGAAGAGTACGGACAGGGCCAGGAGGTAGATGAACAGCCCAGACGGATTGGATGGCAAGATGGGGAGATGGGGGATGGGGGATGGGGATGATGCACTACGACAGGGCCCAGTCCTGTCCAGCGACTGAAGTGCAGGCAGTTTTGGTGCTTGAGGTGCAGTGCAGTGCAGTACACACAAGTTGCAGGCAGTGTGCAGTTAGTCTAGGTAATGTGGAGGTGGGCGTGGCAGGTTAGGGTGAGGTGAGGTGGGCTTCACGTCAGGTCGGGTGTTCGTTCCTCCACTGTTGCGTTGCAGTGAAGTGAGCCTGAGTGAATTTTGAGTGTGAGTGTACATACATGTGTATGTGGTGACTTGTAACTTGTGACTTGTACTGGCGAATACAAGCATCAGTACCAGCATCAGAGTACGAGTACGCCGATTTTCTCCAGCCAAGACACAGGAATCGTCGTAGCAGTAACGGCTTCGGTACGTAGCCAAGACAAGCGTCAACGTACAGCCAGCGTAGCATAGTAGTGCCCGACAGTTGCCAGGTCCCCAGTCACTTCACTCCCAGCCAGTTTTTTTTTCCCTCCCTCCTCCAGCGAAGGAGTCAGGCCAACAGGAGTGAAATGGGTGGATTCGAAATGGGCAAATGGGAGGATGGGGATGGATGGGCCCTCACTCCTCGTTTTCTAGTGCCTGCACCCCCTAGCAAGCCTAAGCCTGCAAGCCCCAGGCAATGCACCTCACGACCTACGCACGGAGCACAAGTGACGGCGGAGGGCGTGGAGCAGCAGAGCAAACAGCGAGTCGCGTTGTCGTTGACGAGTGAGCACTTGTCGAGACGAATCGAATCCTGGTGGAATACTGTAGACCCTAGCAAGGGTGGAGTTCAATTCAAAGTGGATCGCGTCTCTGACTTGTATGTACCTGTAAGCTGTGGACTCCAGCCAAAGAATACATATCACTCTGGCAAATGACGGTTGGAATTCCCAAGGGGCCCAGTCAAGCCTACCTAGGGACAGACAGTGGCGCTCTGCTTAGGCTGGCTTGGAAGACGGGACAAGGACAAGGACGGGATGCGTGAGAAACCCAGCAGAACCGTGAGTGGGAACTTCATTCAACAAACTGACCAAGCAGAGCACTTGATGCTAATTATGTATGTAGGCAGAGGTCGTCACCACCACAATCACCGTGGTCGTGGGTCAAGCTGCTCTACCTGGAGTACTGGGTGTTTCTCCCTGTTGCGTACTATGTATACTTCGCCTCATGCCTCGCAGCATCTTACCCGGCAGCGAGTGATACTTTTGATATCAGTCATTCGGAAATTGTAAATAAAATTCTAAGGACTCATATGCGTCAGCATTCACGCATCGACAAATGTAATCCACGCGTACTCAAAGTATCGTGGCAAAAACGATACTATCCAAGCTCTTCCATCAGGCGGGCAGATTATGTATTCGTACATAGTTAGATCGTATTGAAGATGAACCAGGAAACTCGGAGTCTTCGGTGCGCAAAAAAGGGTTCACATCCATCTTCATGGTCTACCAGGTACAGACAGTACCGTATCCACCTGGTAGTCAGTCATCCATCTCAGTGGTTCCACGCTTCCTTGGACTCGGTCGCCCTAGTGTCGCTTCGGCCAGGAGATCCACAGAGCCTTGCCAGCCAATCCTAGCTCAGTGGCTGGTCCAGGGTATCATCATTCATCAATTGAAGCGGCTCGATGGAGAGAAGGAGAGGGCAGACTTTACGATCTGGTTGTCCTGATGAGGGCAGGATGCTCGCTGTGATGACGAGAGTACTGCAGTTTCTTCCCATCGTGATGCGCTTCGGTACAGCACAGGTCAGGCCAGGTACAGTCCATACATATCCCGCAAAGTCATGGGGGACTCACGCACTGCCTTATTAGCTTTCCGTTCACCCATCCATCCCTGACAGGCTGGTCTCGCGTCGACCCCGAGGCGGCAGTGGACGCTATTTCTGGCATTTGCGACTCATAGTATTAAGCCCTCACCTGATCCGAACCATCGGGGGCCATTCCTCGGAGACAGGCGAGGTCCTCCACTATTGCTGTGACGGTTTTACCATGTATCGACCAAACGCGCATAGAAGCTTTCATCAACCAAAGCGAAATACTGCAGTGTCCAATGAATGACTAATGGGACGAATTCAGGCATATTCTTGTATGATGCTGGAGTCTGCCATGTTCTATAATGCACATTGAAGTTGCACACTTTGACTGGTTCCAGGGACCAAATCGAACATCCTGAATATGTACATTAGGTATTCTGGCTTACCTACCCAGGCACCTACCTAGCTGCCTATCTCCCTGTACCTTGGACCATCGGAAGCTTGAGGACCGTTATGCGTGCAACATTGATGTCCAACCAACCAATCATCGTTGCCGTGTTTTGGCCAGCAAACTTTGTTCATTGAGCACTGGAGCAGGCAAAGCTCACAGTTGCCACGCTTGGGGTGGTTGGAGTCTGGAGACGTCACTAGCACGGAAGTCGCTTCCAGCCTTGCCCTTTTTCAGACTCAGGTCGCTCCTGATCATGCTCGTGGCTTAAACCGTCAGACGGTCAGCGTAGGGGGTGTAGGGGAGAAAGGAGCGCCTCAGAAGAAAGCGCTAAATGGAAATTTCTGCGTGGCCACTGACTGAGTTCTAGCATATCCTTTTGCCTCATTCGTCCAACCCCAGAGTTTTTTTTTTTCTGTGAGTGTTTTTTCCCCTTCTTAACACCACGTATTTTATGGGTTGTTGACCTTCCGTCGTTAGGTATTAAAAGTTCTTTTTTTTAATTTTTTTTTTTAAAGAAAGAATTAGCGGCTAAGGGCGAAAACAACGACCATCGTCATCACAATTATTACTACCACCATTCACTCGAATGCCGATCTGAACCACATTAAGCACTCTCTTACTGCACTCTGCTCGGAGTCTTATCCCTGGATGGAATATGTTGTGTGAAGCAATATCCGCATTATACACGTAGCTCAGCTTGAGACGCCAGGACGTCTTAGGGGCCGCGTTTGATTAATCAAATCAAATGCAAAGAAATGAGATGAGATGATGGATTGCAAGCGACGTCAGCAACAATAACAAAATAACAAAACAACAACGAAACTCTGAGGCATGTAACGACCTGTCTCGGTGCCTCGGCCAGTCCTGTTCGTGCTGGTTGACTTCATTCGATATCTGGTTGGTCGGTTCATGTCTTCCCGCTCAAGTGGTGCAGCAAATTGATGGTGGCCCACTCTTCCTCCTGAGGTGTGCTTCCAGAAACGCTTCCCTTCAAACCAACTACGCAGAGAGATTTATTACAGTAGTCCAGGTACGAAAATACCGCGGGCCTGCAGGGATTCACATACTCGTCGATCAGAAGAACTCACCGTTCTCAAGACAAGCTAGACGACCAAAGATGCAAGACACTAGCTGCCACCAGTCAAATGCTCAAGAGCCACGACTGCCACGCCTTGGATGTGGACCCAGGGTTCTTCGATCTGTCGCACTTCAGTTTTGAGAATAGCCTTCCGCCGTTTTTGAAGGACATGCCATGTCCTTGTGGTGGATGTGCTGCATCATTCATGCTTAAAGAGAATTAGACCGTTGGTCTAATTTGATTTTTTCCTGATATGCCTGGTCCACCAACTTTTGAATCTTTGGGGATTGTAAGATGCACGCCCAATTCTTTTTGATTTTGGATATGCATATCGACCAAGCACAACAGGTAGCTTGACACATATTCCCATAAAGGAAGCGACACTTTGGTGATAGATTCCACGGCCAATGGCACCACGCCTCTTATCATGACATATATCCAATCGCCAGCTGCTTGCATCAAGAAAGCTAGGATCCATCTAGGGTCGAGTGCTTTCCCTGACCCAGGAATGCGGAGAGAAATGCCTCAAGTCCACCATCGATGCTGTGCAAAATCTACAGGTGCGGGCGTCTAGGCC